AAGTATACATATAGTAATTGAATTTCAATTTGTTTTGTTATTTTGTGAGTACATAGTACTTATTTTTTTTACTATATCAACAAGCAAACTAATTATATAATAAAATAAGTAAAAGTTATAGACAGAGAATATTACTTTCGTGTGCAGTTTATGTTACAATTTACTGGAAATTATTTGTATCAATAAATGTTAAATCTATATAACTGTTATACTAAATATATACTTACTATTTACTATATTTAGAATATTTCTTTTCAGGTAGTAGGGTCAGCTGATTTATGTCAAAAGATATCGCAGGGCTTACATGAAAGTGCAAAAGAAAGGAAGTGGGAGATATGTGTCCATCAGGCTGAATCTATTACGGATGTTGTGAAAACAAGGATAGATATCTCTGTGGATTTTATCATTTTTCCTTTTGATTTAAAAATTTCACAAACCTTGTCAGAAGTAAGTCTCCTTTGTATATAATTTTTATTATAATCTCTTCATCATGCTATAAGTGATTCATTATCTTCAGCAATTCATTAATTTTTATTAATTCATTCTATCTATTATTATTAGTATTATTATTATTATTAATGTTTTAGATAAAAGCTAATATAGTCAGGATAGAGGAAAGTTTTGTACTGTCTGGTGCAGTTTGCGTAGTAAATTGCAATGGAGTATCCAATGTTATGGGATTGATCCACGAGGCAAAGAAGCTTTGTCACAATTATAATATTCGTTTCCTTTCTGCTAATATTTCTGTAAGTTTATATTCAACTCTATGTACATGTGTATCAAAAAAATTCTACAAATATTTATATTTCAAAATATATTTTTTATTTTAGAATATGCAAGCCTGTGTATCTTTAGGAAGCAGAATTCTAAATATAACAGAAGGAATATTGGGATTAAACAGTGGTCTACCAGTTATTGGAACTGTTGTGCAGCACAACTAGATTACTGTAGAGTATTGCATAAGATGGTTCGTTGATAATTCACATATCGTATTTTTTCTCAAGACTATACATCGAATCATCATCAGTCGTCAATTATATTGTTTAAATCATCAAGCATCAGTGTCAAGATGAAAAAATCAAGTGGTAAGACATACGCTTCTAGCCAAGAGGACAGCGAGAATGACAGTGATGTGACCGAATGCAGCATTGGGAGTAATTCCACTGCCGGTACTCACCGCAGCGATACGCCCACTCGTAGCGCCCGTTATAAACGAAAAGGCCGTCGTAGAAGTAAAACGACAAAGTATAAACCTTGTACTGACAAACCGATGTATAAATTTTGCTGCAGTGTCAAGGAGGATCATGGACAGCCCTTATTTGGCGTACAATTCAATTATAATTTGAAAGAAGGCGAACCGTTGGTATTTGCCTCTGTGGGTAGCAATCGCGTAAGCATCTACGAATGTCCGCAGAGTGGAAATATACAGTTACAACAATGTTACGCCGATCCAGATACAGAGGAGAACTTTTACACATGCGCGTGGTCATACGACGATTCTGGGAAGCCTTTGCTAGCTGTGGCGGGATCCCGCGGAGTTATCCGGGTTATAAGTCCTACGACAATGACTTGTATCAAACATTACATTGGCCATGGACATGCGATAAATGAGCTGAAGATTCATCCGAGAGATCCAAACATCCTATTGTCCGCATCGAAAGATCACGCTTTAAGGCTATGGAACATCAAAACAGACGTGTGTGTCGCGATCTTCGGTGGCGTGGAGGGTCACAGAGATGAAGTCCTGAGTGCTGATTTCGACATAAAGGGACAAAGAATCATTTCATGCGGAATGGACCATGCTCTTAAGTTGTGGTCCTTGGAGAAGCCAGACATGCAGGATGCGATAAAGCAGTCTTATCATTGCAATCCCACTCGCAATGGCAGACCCTTTGATTCAATACTGCAACATTTTCCAGACTTTACCACTCGTGACGTTCATCGAAATTATGTGGACTGCGTGAAGTGGTTCGGCGATTTTATCCTGAGCAAATCCTGCGAGAACTGTATTGTGTGCTGGAAACCAGGTAGACTCGAGGACTCACAGTTACGCAATGGAGAAACAAGCGCAACGGTTTTACACCGTTTCGAGTTTAAGGAGTGTGACATTTGGTTTATACGCTTCTCCATGGATTTCTGGCAGCGCACGATCGCGTTAGGAAATCAGGTCGGCCGCACTTATGTTTGGGATTTGGACGTAGACGAGCCTGGGCAAGCACGTTGCTGGTCTCTTCAGCATCCCCGTTGCACCGTACCGATTCGTCAAACTAGCCTAAGCCGAGATGGCTCCGTGTTATTATGCGTCTGCGACGACGCGACAATTTGGAGATGGAATCGCGATCATTAATTCTATTTTGTATCACTATTAAGAAGAGATGTGCCTTTTTTTATATAAACTCTATATTAAATATATTTGTATTTTTTGTAGCAATTATTTAAGTATAGAGATTAAATGTATCAGTCTAATAGAGTAATTCAAAGTCAAACATAAATTCACGATATTCGTGTTGTATATACGGTATGTACAGTGATTATCACGATATAGTGATTGACTATTTGTTATGAATTTGCCTACATATTAAAATCCAAGTCAAATTAACAGCTAATATCACAGCATAGTAATAACTGATACTTACTAACAATTCAATTTACAGTCTGTTTTTTACGAGGCAGACTTGTATAAGACCTGAGCAGATGAGAATTTATAAATATTAATGAAAATCTTTTTAAAAATTTTTAATAACATTTCATTAAATTTATTCGTTTCATTTTCTGAATTTTTTTCTTCATTTTAATGGTTTTCATACTAATGGTCAATCACTGTCATTTTTCTGTTCAATAACTAAAAACTTGTGGTCAGTAACTGTCATTTTCTGAACGAAAGTTTCTACCGTTGGAAAGAAATGGAAAAAACCTAGTTCATTCAGTTTTTTGTACTTGAATATATTCTTTGAACCTTACTTAACGTTTGCTTTGCATCAAATTCAAATTTCAAATAATTTCAATAGTGATTACAGTAATTACATTGAACTTTAGCACTTAAGGGGATGCTGGAGTGACGGCCGAGCTTGATCGAAGTTGATAACATAGATTTTTCACCGTCCGCTTACATCTTTTGACGCGTCGCCGCCGGCCTCACGCCGGCACGCCGCGTTGACCGTTCCCAGACTCCAGTCAGGCCCCAGTTGGGCCCAGTCGCTCGGTCTATTCGTAACGCACATATGTTGTGTTTGAGCGTCTGGATTGAACGCAGTCCGATATATGATTGTGTGCGCTCACATTGTCATTACTAGTAATCTGTAATACACATAATATGTGAAATACAGATTTTTACTGACAGTATACTTCGATACACGGTAGTAGTAATTTCGATGCGATGTCATTTTAAGTTATATAATCTGTCAATACATGAATACATGTATTGCATACACATGTGTAGCTATTCACCTCTTTTTACTAAAAAGAAAAGATGAGTTTGCATGCTGAAATATATAATAGTGACACATGTCCTTATATATGTATACAATATTATAATATTGAAATACAAATAATAAGTAAAGAGCAAATAAGAGTCAAATTTTTCTTTTTTGAGAAATCAAAGAATTATAATTATATAAAGAAATTTTTGAAAATGCATTACAATAAAATACAAAAAGTTATTGTTCAATATCCCTATATCATAGCATTACATACGTTTCGGTCTCTGTATTGGACTCTCTTCAGATTATCAAAGATAAAATCCATTATTATATATAAATTATATCATAAATAAATTGATCTTACAATTACATTGTTATGTAACATTGTACCAAGTGACAGCACATCAAAACCTCCAATTCTGTTAGCAAAACGGTTCATTAGCCTATTAATTGAAATTTTACAGATCTGATTATGCTAAAATGTACTTATAATCTGTTATCTAATTTGCTAACGACAATGAATCCAGAATTACTCACCGCTATGGTACATGGTTTTGTCTTCATAGTCAAAAATGGTCATAAACCTCCAATCGGTCAAAATGTCAACAGGTGTTACATTGTAGTCAAGTTAAAAAAGTTTTTAAATAAGATAAAAGAAGGTCAATATAAATGTCAAAATTAATTCCGTTGAGCAAATTAGATAATAGATTTTTTAAACTTATAATAAATACATTTCAACATAATCAGATCTGTAAAATTTCAATCAATCGGCTGATGAAACCGTTTTGCTAACAGAATTGGAGGTTCTGATGTGCTCTCGCTTGGTGCAATGTTATGATAATGTAAATAAGATCAATTTATTTATGACACAATTTATATAATAATTTTTATATTAACTTTGATTATCTGAAGAGGGTCCAATACAGAGACCGGAACATATGTAATGCTATGATATGGGGATATTGAACATCTTTTTGTATTTTATTGTAATTTATTGTAATGTATTTTCAAAAATTTCTTTATACAATTATAATTCTTTGATTTCTCAAATGAGATAAATTTGGCTCTTATTTGCTCTTTACTTATTATTTGTTTTTAAATTAGTCCTTTATACTTTTCATGTTGATTATAATATTGCATTTATGGGTACATTGTTTGAATATACACTCGTTAGAAATAGAAGTTATTTATGCTGAGATATTTATGAAAATATTTCCTACGCTTATTGTACGCAATATTAAAATTTCATGTATTGTGAATATGCACGCACGCGCGCATACACACACGATCAAATTTAATTGTAATTGCGTATAAATAAACACAGGGAATATCTGCATGAATACCTCACAGTATAAATAATTCTTATTTGTGTGTATATTCACACATCATAATACACACATACAACATTTTATTGTAATACTGTATATAGGGTGTCCCAAAAAGATCGGGACACCTAAATATCTCGGGAAATATAAGTTTGACAGAAAAGTGTTTCGGACAAAAGTTATATGGTTTAAAAATATCTATTTACTGATCCTATCAGTTTGACCTTGGATTGCGTAGCCAAGGTCAGGTCAAGGTTACATTGATTTTCTTAAATGGAACACCCTATTTTTGATTCACGAATCTAATAGCTGATGTCGAGAGCTTTCCAAAACGCTATAATAAAATATTTTTTCATGAAGTGCTTTTCAAGTTATAATGCTTCAAAGTTACAGTATCGCCGGCACTAGCATTACCTAAGATATGTAATACCATGCGGAGGTTGCCCAGGCGGATTGACATGTCTTTTGTGCTCGGAGAAAGATTGGAGAATAATGCAGCCAATGAAGATAAGATCGGTCTCCTCCGCGTGGTATTAAATATTTTTATAGTGTTTTGAAAAGCTCTTGACATCAGCTATCACATTCTGGAATCAAAAATAGAGTATTCTATTAAAAAGAAAATCGACGTGACCTTGACTTGACAAAGTGAAACTGCTATCATCACTGAATGCATCATTTTATATATTACAACTTCTGTTTGAAACATTTTTCTCAAAAGTGCATACTTTCCGAGATATTTAGCCGGTCCGGGACGTATGGAACACCTTGTATATATGTGTTACATATATATAGTATACAGTATTCAAAAAGGGATTGGATTTATGAGCTGCACATAAAGATGGCTATAACTGAGTCGTAGAACATGAGCGTATCGTAATATATAGTACGTCAACATATTTTGCGTTGTCGTATAACTATGATTTACGTTCTTCGTCTCACAGTCAGTTACGGACATCTCTGTGCTAAGGAATAACCTCCAGTGGCCTTGACCTTGACATGTAATGTCAAAGTCATGGACTCAAACAACATTTATGTCCAATTTTTAATCCTGTAGATAACTTTATCTAGGAGATTATTTAGGATAAATAACAATTTATCTGGAAATGAAGTATTTGGGACGATTTGTAGTAAATATAAAAACAAGACATAAAATTATATATTATCACACATTAATTTTGACAATATAGAATGGGCCCC